GAGAGCACGAGTGACGAGACTGATGATGAGTCTTCGAGTGTGGGTGGTGTTGCCACTTAGTTTTTGTTTTTGCTCCTTTGTCATTTGTGACAAAAAGGGGGAGTAGATATATGATAGATAGACAGATCTCATTTTTTGATTAATTGTGATATAACTGTGGTTTTGTATCTATTTAATGGCTAGATTAAGTTTTTGATGTTTTAGCAATATTGATGTATGTTTTTGGTGTTTTTGACTTACATTACTATTGCTTCTTAATCTGGCTAATGACATACTCACTATTCCTTGTTTTATTTACTATTTCCATTTTACATGCTTTTACATTTGGTATTGAGTTTCTGTATTTCAGGAAACAGGTTCGACAAGAGATAGCTGGTTTGGTTGAATGGATAGGTCGTTTAGAGTTACATTTCTTTTTGTGTCATTGACTGTCTTGTATAATTTTGTTGCAGAATGCCAAAGGGGGAGTTTCTTAGGAAAATGTTGTAACTGGCAATCTGTGACCAAAAAGGACCAATTTGTCAAGTTTGTAAAGTCAAGGACTAATTTGTAAAGGTCTAAAAGTTCAGGGACTTGTGTTGCAATTTAGCAAAAATTATGGTATAGGTCTAGGGTAAAGTTGGGTGCCTTGAAGATGAAACGACGCAAGATCACGCTAGAGTTTTGCCATGACCTCGCTCGAGCCTAAATAACAGAACCTATCTCGCTAGAGTTTCGCCGGCACTTCGCTCGAGCGACAGTGCTATCCGGCTTTTGGTAATTTTCCTTCCTTGTAATTTTTAGACGCTCCATACTACCAAAAATGACCTTATATATATTAAAAAGTCCTGTTTTTCATACACAACCTTTGGAAAAACACAATTGAAAGATTTTTCCTCTCAACCAAAGGATCAACTTCATAATTCCTTCTTTTTATCATATGTCTTATTGAAGAAAAACATCAAACACCTCTTAAAACAAATCACCTTTCAAAAATCCTCACTACTTCCAGAAGATCGACTGATTGAAGATCCGGGAAGGAGATTGATTGAAGAACTGGAGTTCTTACTGATTCGCGGGAAATAGAAGAAGAACAAGGCTGGGATTTTGGCGCAGATTTGCAGAATCCAGGAGAGCTTTGGTTGATGTAGTAAGGAGGTTAGAGTGTTGTTAGATACAGTCATGTTTGGTGTACTGTAAGTTGAAGTCTTTTATAGTGAATCCCTACTGACTTGTGCCCGAGTTTTTACCCAGTTGGGTTTTCTCCGTCAACAATTTGTTGAGTTATTGATTTCTTTCTGTCATTTTTAATTCAATTGGAAATTCAACATAGGTAGTTAAATCATCTGAATGAATATGGACAAAGTTTAATTTATGTGACTTGTTGCATAAGTTGATTGAATTGATAAAATCCGCATAAACACCTATTCACCCCCCCTCTAGGTGTTTTTTGGGTCGAACTATAGTCTTTTCAAATTTTATCCTAATTACATTGTCATTTGCATCAATTTCCTAATTGCTTTCTCTTAAAATGGTGCATTCGATCATCGAGCCTTTAAAATCTTTATATGGTGATCATATTTGACTCCTCGACCTAGGTGGTGAATTTTACATTGAGCTAGGTTAACTAAATGTTGAAGATTGGCTTGGTAAGAAATGGAAAATCGAAAAGGTCGAAAATTAGTATCGACAAAGGTTTAAACTTTCCATTTGGTTGATCAAGATCACCTTAAACCCTATATAGGTAATTGACATATTTGGGACATGAGGCATGAAGTGACATGATCACAACACAATAATATAGGTTTCATATGACGATATAAATACTGAAGTGCGAATTGTTGAAATCGGTCGAGAATCGGGAGTCGATCAGGTAAGTCATTATATGAACGGTTAAGGACTTAGCTCTATAATATATTTTAGGATTTTAGGATAAGTGAAATGGATTGTAAACATGTCAAAATAAGCCAATGGCACTTGATTTGTACTTGCAAAGATAGATATAAAATCAGATTTTTACTACAAGTGACCACCTCATGCTTGGGATATTTGTCATTTTAACACTAAGTTTCTTTAACCATAAGGCATGATCTCGTGTAAGATGAATATAGATATCTTATAAGGCATAAAAAAATCCAAATACAATGGGGGAAGGTCAAATATTGCAGCAAGAAGCCACCACCTGCTTATTACTCACCGAAGTAGCTTGATGTGGCTGCATCTCACAAAATCCTTATTCTTTAAGCAAGCAACACAACCTCAACCTCTTAAAGACCACTTATTTACCTCTAGATAATATATTAACTCTCTTAGCTCGTCCCTAAGTGATTCCAAGTGAAAAAGAATGTGAAAGAGAAATAGAATCAGGAAGCTGGAATTTCTGGACTCCTGAGTTACTTCACGATTTTGAGGTTTGTATCCATTATTTCTTGAGGGTTTTATAACTTCTTGAACATCTGAACTTGCTTGTGATTAGTTTGGAGTGTTTTTAATGATTTTATGATGCCAAAATAGGGGTAATTAATTACAAGAATTTGAAAGAAATTAATCTGGACAGAGATGAGTATTTGCTAGAATTGAATGGTTTCAATCTTGATTTTGGATGATAGTTAGAGCGTAACTTATAACTATCAATATGAATGTTTTTATATGCAACCATGAAGTATATAAATGATGTTAATGACTTGGAGTTTTGTTGGTAGCATACTAATAAAATTGGAAATCCGAAAAATGTCACAAGGAAAATAAAACTGCCTGATTTGGTGTGGTGAAAAAAAATGATGGTTTTTGAGGCTGAAAACACTTCACTTGTCACGACTTTAGGGCATGATTACCTTCAAATACATGTTATAGAAGTGTGGTAAAAATTTGGGAGTCGTTGGATATAGTTAAGGGGGTGAAAAAGGATTGGAAAAATAGTTGGATGGTGATGGAAACCTGAAAAATAGATTCTGTCCATTTCTTTGTTTAATGTCATTTCAACCTTTACATATCCATTAATAATCTCTTTGGCATAAGAAATAGATTCTAAGGAGTACTAGGTTGTTGACAACAATTGGATGATGTTGACGTTCATAATTGGACTTGAGATAAAGTGAGATTTATGGGACTAGTTTGTAATGTCATCAGTGACTGGAAATGATGAATTCGTCAAAATTATTTTGGTGTGAATGGACGTATTTTGGGATTGTGTGTGTTAAGGTTATTAAATTGAGGATTGTCTTTAATATTAGATGGTAATATAGGTGATTTTTCGATGTTGAATGAAAAAGAAAATTGATACACATTCTGTAAGAGCTTGCGCACACAAGGGCAAAAGGTAAGTAAAAAAATCCATTTGCAACTAGGATGGAAGAACCTAGTAATTGTGATGTGGTAATATTGGACGATTTACATAACCTTGGTATGATGTTCATTGCATATCATATGATGGTTATGGTCATTGAGTATGCGGTTGCGATACCTATTGACAGTGATTTTCATTAAACATTTCATTCATGAGCATTTTTATATGCATGCACGACATGTGATCATAATTGAAAATCTTGCATGCGAAATATGATTTCAATTTGAGTTTTCTTTATAGATGTTTTATTGACCACTACTAGGGTACCGAAGCATGGGAGGCTTGCTTATGTGATATGTTGGATATCGCAGGTGATACTCCCTGGGTGATTGAAATGTAGACAGGGGATGATCCTTTGGTGATCACGGGATGGTAGACCACTCAACTGTACAATTGTGATATTTTGATTATTGGGACTACCGGGTGGAAAACTTCTTGGGTGATCATAGGGGTAGATAGGGGATGGACCTCTAGTGGTCACGAGAGGATGGTCTACTCGTCGGTATCGATTTCATAGTGGCCATTTGATTATTGATATTAATATTATACAGAGCTCTATCTGGTGCATAATAGGTGGGTTAAGGGCCTAATGAATGAAAGATTCCAAATGAAATGATTTCGAGTTGACTTTGATGAATATTGTAATATGATGTATCTTCATCATTATGTTTAAAGTAAATGACAAAGTGTCATATATCGTTGTTGCTCATATTCATGACATGCATGATTTTTGCTTACTAAGCATTGGTTTATATAGTTCCTGCATTGTAGGTGAGCATGGAACTACATAGAAAGCACGGTTAGTTGTGGAGCTCTTATAGGATTCTAGAGTTCGATGTACATGGATAACGACCTGTAGGGTTATTTTGTGAGATCCTATTTTGAGCTTATGGCCTATTGTGTTGTGTGTTGGGGATCCTGTGTTGTATATCTTTTGACATGGCATGTAAACATGTTTATAACCTCAGAATATATATGTTGGATTATGACGATATGGTTTTGGTTTTGATATACTATATGATCGTCACAAGCGATTATATATATATATATATTTCATCTTATTAGGTGGAAATATATATGTGTGTGTGTGTGTGTGTGTGTGTGTGAAATTTTATGTCTAGGTTGTATCATCAATTTCATTTCTATACAACTTAATGTATTGTTAGGTATGGTTACCTATGTGAATGAGGGTGTGACAGAGAGTGGTATCAGAGCGAGGTTATAATTCTATAGACTGTCTATGTACATGATCTCGGAGTACGAAAGAGCGCAATTAACCCAGTAAGTTTTATTTTGTTGCAATATTTTTGCATACTCATGACTGATATTGGCCAACTTTTATTTGCAGCCATGGTGAGAACTAGAGATGCTAGTAGTAGTAGAACTAGAATTCTAGGGCAAGAGGCATCTGTTCAAGATGACAGTCGTGATGTTGTTATTGATAGACTTACAGAATTAGTTGAGCACCAATCTCAACAAATTCAGCAATTAATACAACAAAGAGAAAGGAGAGAACAACAAAGGGCTAAATTCTTACAACCACAACAAATGATTGAACATATTGAGACAGTTGGAGAAAGATTTAGAAAACTAAACCCTCCAATATTTGAAGATGCATTAGATCCAACAGCAGCAGAGGATTGGTTGAGACTTTAGAGAATATGTTCAGGTATTCATGAGTTTTAGAAGTAGAAAAAGTGGTTTGCGCAGTGTTGGACACTGGTGGGTTATGATGAGTAGCAATGAAGATGTAAATGCCATGACTTGGGAGAGATTTAAAGAGTTATTCTGTAATAAATATTTTACAGCTCCAGTTCGAGCTGTGAAGATGAACAAATTTATACAGCTAAGACAAGGTGGGATGACAGTAGGAGAGTATATTTGTAAGTTTGAGCAATTATCCACAACTATCTAGGTTTGCTACCCACATGGTTAATACTGATGTACTAAAATTAGTAAGATTTCTTAAGGGGCTAAGACCAGAACTTTATAGAGATGTAAGCATGGATAGAATTCAAGGTATCTCATATTTTCAAATTGCAGAGAAGGCATTAGTTGCAGAACAAGTCGAACAAAGAATTAGTCGTGCTCAAGAGGCTTGACAATAGTTTAGACAAGGTCAAGGACAATGTTGGCCCAGAAATGATAAGAAGGAAACATTCCAGGGACAGAGTCAGAAGTCTAAGTTTCAGTCGAGACAAGGACAACAACAGTGGGATCAGGGCAAACGTCCAAAAATAGATCAAGAAAAAGCCTCAACAGCCCAACTAGCTTGCCCTAAATGTGGTGGACAACATACTGGAGGATGTCCTACAGAGACTAGGACATATTATGTTTGTGAAAAGGTGGGACATTTTGCTAGAGCATGCCTAGGTAATCCAAACCCCATGGAGCAAAAGAAGGTACTAGTTAGGGTGTTTACTATTACAAGATTAGATGTCGACACAAATCCATCCGTGGTAATAGGTAATTTCTCTATCTTTGGCATCCCAACACTTGTACTATTTGATTCTGGAGCTACACATTCATTTGTGTCCACTGAGTATGTGAGGAGGTTGGGTAGGACACCTAATGTACAAGAGATCAATTACAGTGTGATTGTTCCATCTGGAGATGTACAACAAACCAATTTGATTTTAAGAGCCTGTGTGATTCTTATAGAAAATCAATAACTTTATGCAGATTTAATTATTTTGAATATGAGAGATTATGATATAATTTTGGGTATGGATTGGTTGTCAAAGTATCAAGCTACTATAGATTGTAAGAGGAAGTTAGTAACCTTTCAACCTTTTGGGAAATGAACCATTCACATTCAGTGGGTTTGGGAGAAGTTTCAAATTTCCTGTTATATCAATATTGAAAGCACAAAGGTTACTAGATAGTAGGTGTGAAGGTTATCTGGTGAGTTATACGGCTATTGAAGCACGACACAATTTAAATCTTAGTGATGTGCCCATGATATAAGAAATTCTAGAGGTATTTCTTGATGATTTACCTGGGGTACCACCAGATCGTGAGTTAGAGTTTGTAATTGATTTAATTCTAGGAACATCTCCAATTTTCAAGGCTCCATATAGAATGGTCCCAACTGAATTGAAAGAGTTGTTAGATAAAGATTTTATCAGACCTAGCTTTTCACCATGGGGTGAACCAGTATTATTTGTTCGTAAGAAGGATGGTATAATGAGATTGTGCATCGATTACCGATAGTTGAATAAGGCAATCATTAAAAATAAATACCCATTGCTAAGGATTGATGATTTGTTTGATCAACTTCAGGGTACATCTGTATTTTTGAAGATTGATTTGCGATCTGGATACCATCAACTTAAGATGAAGGAAGATGACATTTCTAAAACAGCATTTTGTACTAAATATGGTCATTATGAGTTTTTGGTGATACCATTTGGGTTAACAAATGCCCCAGCAACTTTTATGGATCTGATGAATAGGGTATTTGGAGACTTTCTAGATAAGTTTGTAATTGTATTTATTAATGATATCCTTATTTATTCTCTTACTAAAGAAGAACATGCTACACACTTGAGAATAGTTCTGTAGATCTTAAAGGACAAGCAATTATATGCTAAGTTTAAAAAATTTGAATTTTGGCTAGATTACCTCCTAGATAATATATTAGCTCTCTTATCTCGTCCCTAAGTGATACTAAGTGAAAAAGGGAGTGAAAGAGTTAAAGAGAAATAGAAACAGGAAGCTGGAATTTCTGGACTTCTGAGTTACTTCACGGTTTTGAGGTTTGTATCTATTATTTCTTTAGAGGTTTATAATTTCTTGAACATCTGAACTTCCTTGTGATTATGTTAGAGTGTCGTTAATGATTTTATGATGCCGAAATAGGGGGAGATGAGGATTTGCTAAAATTGAACGGTTTCAATCTTGATTTTGGATGATAGTTAGTGTGTAACCTATACCTATCAATATGAATGTTTTTATATGCAAGCATGAAGTGTAGAAATGGTTTTAATGGCCTAGAGTTTTGTTGGTAGCATACTAATAAAATGAAAAATCGAAAATTATCACAAGGAAAATAAAACTGTCTGATTTGGTGTGGTGAAAAATGGGATGGTTTTTGAGGCTGAAAACACTTCACTTTTCATGACTTTTGGGCATGCTTACCTTCACATACATATTATAGAAGTGTGGTAAAAATTTTGGATTCGTTGGATATAGTTAAGGGGGTGAAAAAGGATTGGAAAAATAGTTGGATGGTGATGGAAACCTGAAAAATAGATTCTGTCCATTTCCTTCTTTAATGTCATTTCAACCTTTACATGGGCCTAGGAAATAGATTCTAAGGAGTACTAGGTTGTTGACAACAATTGGATGACATTGACGTTCATAATTGGACTCGAGAAATAGTGAGATTTATGGGATTAGTTTGTAATGCCATCAGTGACTCGAAATGATGAATTCGTCTAAATTACTTTGGTGTGAATGGACGTATTTTGGGATTCTGTGTGTTAAGGTTATTAATTGAGGATTGTCTTTAATATTAGATTGTAATATAGGTGATTTTTCAACGTTGAACGAAACAGAAAATTGATACACACTCCATAGGAGCTTGTACGCACAAGGGTGCAAGGTAAGTAAAAAATTCATTTGCAACTACGATTTATATAACTTTGGTAAGAGGTTTATTGCATATCATATGATGGTTATGGTCATTGAGTATACAGTTGTGATCCCTATTGACAACGATTTTCATTAGATATGACATTCATGAGCATTTTCATATGCATGCAGTATGCGAAACATGATCTCAAATTGAGTTTTCTTTATAGATTTTTTTTGACCACTACCAGGGCACCGAGGCGTGCTTATGTGATATGTTGGGTATCGGGGTGATACTTCCTAGGTGACTGTAAAGATAGACAGAAGATGGGCCTTTGGTGATCACGGGAGGGTGGACCACTCGACTGTGCTCTTGTGATATTATGATTATTGGTGCTGCCGGGTGAGAGACTTCTTGGATGATTGTAGGGATAGTTGGGGGATGGATGGTCACAAGAGCATGGTCGACTTATCAGTGTCGATTTCATATTGGCCATTTGATTATTGATATTGATATTATACAGAGCTTTATCTGGTGCATAGTAGATGGGTCAAAGGCCCAACGAAATGAAAGATTTCAAACGAAATGATTTCGCGTCGATTTTGACGAATATTGTAATATGATGCATCTTTATCATTATGTTTAAAGTAAATGGCAAAGTATATCATATATCGAATTGCTCATATTCATGACATGCATGATTTTTCCTTACTAAGCATTAGCTTAAATAGTTCTTGCATTATAGGTGAGCATGAAATTACATAGAAAGCACGACTAGCTGTGGAGCTCTTACAGGATTCTAGAGTTCGATGTACATAGATGATGACCTGTAGGGTTATTTTGTGGGCTGCTATTTTGAGCTTATGGCCTATTGTGTTTTGTGTTGGGGATCTTGTGTTGTATATCTTTTGACATGGTATGTAGACATGTTTATAGCCTCAGAATATATATGTTGGATTATGGCAATATGATTTTGGTTTCAATATACTCTATGATCATCACACGTGGTCAGGAATTAACAAACAGGGACATAATTGGAAGCTTATTTCATTTTATCAGGCAAAAAAATATATATGTGAAATTCTATGTTTAGGTCGAGTCATCAATTTCATTTCCGAACAGCTTAATGTATTGTTATGTATGGTTATCTATGTGAATGGAGGTGTGACATGTCAATAACATTGCAGATTTGTTTTTAAAAGAAGTAGTGTGCTTACATGGGATTCCTAGAAGTATTTTATTGGATAGGGATGTCAAATTTCATAGTTACTTTTGGAGGATTTTGTGGAATAAGTTAGGAACCGAACTATTATTCTCTGCTACTTGTCACCTACAAATTGATGAACAAACTGAGCTTGTCAATAGCCCATGATATAATAGTTACGCACTATAGTTAATCAGAATTTGAAGAATTAGGAAGAGTGCTTGCCATTCATTGAATTTACATACAATAGGGCCACGTATTCTACTACTTCTTGTTCGTCTTTTTGAATTATATATAGTTTTAATCCACTAATACCTTTGAATTTAATTCTTTTTCCTTTAATGAACGAAGTAGTTTAGATGAAAAGAAGAAGGCCAAATTATTGAAATCATTCCACGGAAAGGTAAGGTTGCAAATTGATAAGAGGAATAAGCACTATAGAGATCATGACTCTTTTGTGCTTGTCCAGGAAAATTGCCCATTGCATTAACTTGTTCATTGGGGTCTTCTTGAAGAGTCAGACAGATGTCAATTGAATGCCCTACCACCGAACAAATTCCACACACCTTTACTGTTTACATATTACCTGCAGCCATTTGTTGAACAAGAGTAGTTAGACTCGAAATATATTGTTCAAGGGATGAGATATTTACTTCATTGAAAGGTTTAGATGGACTGTCAAGTCTAGTGCCAAATTGTTGAGAGTTGGTTGTCATGTTTACAACTAACATCCTTATGCCCTCGAGAGTTTTATCTACCAAAGCTCCTCTACTTATAGCATCAATCATACTCCTATCAGTGGGCAGAAGGCCGTCATATAAATATTGAATGAGAAGTTGTTCGCTAATCTGATGGTGGGGGCAACTTGCACATAATTTCTTGAACCGTTATCTATATTCATGCAAAGATTCTTTGTTGTACTGCCTTATGTCACAGATCTCCTTTTGAATGTTAGCTGCTCTTGAAGCTGGAAAATATTTTTCTAAGAACATCCTCTTCATCTCTTCCCATTTCGTGACACTTCCAGATGGTAGAAAGTAGAGCCAATCCTCAGCTGAGTCCTTCAAGGAAAATGGAAAGGCTCTCAATTTGATTTGCTCTTCAGTTACTTCAGTGGGTTTCATGCTTGTGCAAATCGCAGGATTTCCTTTAGATATTTGTGGGGATCTTCACTTGAAAGACCATGAAAAGTAGGCAAAAGATGCATTAGTCCAGATTTAAGTTTAAAAGTAGCACCAGCATCTAAATTAGGAAAGTTTCAGAGAGGTTGTTGATTCAAGTTTGGAGCTGCAAGCTCCTTTAAAGTTTGATTTACAACCACGATTTCCTCTCTTTCTGAATCAGAATCACTGTTAAACAATTCAAAATTCCTCCGAATGTCACTCCTCAACCTGCGCAAACTTCTTTCAATGTCTGGATCAAACTACAAATCGCCTTGGTTAGAGGATTAAGTTATGGGCATGAACAATTAAGGAAGCATACAAAAAAAAAAAAAAAAACTAACTATACTGAACTAAACAAAACAACCAAATAAACAATTTTTTAAAGCAAAAACTAATGAAATAAATAAAAAGCACAAAATAATCTAAATCACTCCCCGACAACGGCGCCAAAATTTGGTGTATGCTATCGTAGACACTCCAAATTAGAACCTATACTTCTTAAAATTAATATAGTAGGGAAAGTAAGAGGCCGATCCCATGAAGAGTGATTAGTTTATTTTCTATACTAGATTAACTAAAATGGGGGATTTGATTTTGAAACTATTAATTCTTAAGAAGATCAACTAATGTCAATGCAAATCAACAAATTGGATGAAATCAATAAAGCAACCTTGATCTAAGTCAACATCCACCATCAAAAATTTATAACCGGTCATTGATCCACAAATA